GATAGATAGATAGATAGATAGATAGATAGATAGATAGATAGATAGATGGATAGATAGATAGATAGATAGATAGATATATAGATATATGTTCAAAAAAAATATGACTGTTTATGTCACTGACATAAACAGTCATATCCATATAAGGATGGAAGAGAAAGTAACCACTTAGTGTTCTTTATGCTGATCTGAGTCACAGAAACGTGTGCGAGAGAGAGAGACAGAGAGAGAGAGAAAGAGAGAGAGAGTAATGGTTGACAGATGTTGGAGAAGGTTCCACTGTTATGGTTGACGGACTACCAAAGCAACACACGCACACAACTTAGTTGTTAATGCAAACCGTGACGTCATCACCACTATTCCGCTCTTCGACTGATTCTCTTACACCTGTCTCACTGGGCACAGGAAGTGTATACCGGTAGATGTGGTGACGTGCCGTGAAGGAATTCTGAGCTTTCTGAGAAAAAAGGGTGAATATTCTGAAGTAAGAGATGAAGGACAAAGATGAGGAGGAGAAGGTCTGAAAAGGAAGAAGAAAAAAGGTGGTGGAAAAAAAAGAAAAAAAGAAGGTAAAAGTCTAAAGACACTCAATAGAATATTCTAGAAATGGACCTCAACGCGGGAGATTAGGAGTTTCAAAAGGGCGGTAGAAGTATGAAACAGGAGCGGGTGAGGTTTTAAAAACATTTAATTCCGAGACAGGAGAAAAAAAGACCGAGAAAAAAAGAAAAGGTAAAAACCGGAGAAAAAGGAACGGTAGAGAGAAAGTATGGGGCGGAGGAGGACGTAAAGATCGAGATAAGTGCTCAGCTCCTCCTCCTCCTCTTTCTCCTCGTCCTCCTCTCCTGTTGACATTGCAGCCAGTGTCAGTGTCGGAACCATACTCAGCAGCAGCAGCAGCAGAAGCAGCAGAACATCCTGCTCCTCTCCCAGGTGTGTGGATCTAACTGACATGTTCCCTCCGGGATTATGTGCGGTTCTCTTGGCCGCTTCCTGCTCTCTCCTCCTGGAGCCGGTCCAGTCTGCGTCCTGTGAGCCGGTCCGGATTCCTCTGTGCAGGTCTATGCCGTGGAACATGACCAAAATGCCGAACCACCTTCACCACAGCACACAGGACAACGCCGTTCTGGCCATAGAGCAGTTCGAGGGGCTGCTGGGTGAGTAACTGCCAGAGGGAGTAAGTGGGTGAGGTAAGGAATGATCGATTGAAAGAGTGAGTGAGTGAGTGAGTGAGTTTACGAGGGGCGAGTGAGTGATTGAAGCACTAAGTGAGTGAGTGAAGTGGAAAAGAAAAGTAGAGTTGTGCGTATGGGACGGGGTGAAAGGGGAGGTGAGTGAATGACTGGGTTGAGTCAGATAAGGATGTAAAGAATAATCCATCCATCCATCCATTCATTCATTCGTTTATTATTGTTGAAATGAAAGGGCAGGCGGCCACAGGGTGAGGCCATGGGTTCACTCAAGGGCAGGCGGCCACAGGGTGAGGCCACGGGTTCACTCTTCACAGTTCTGCACAGTCCCTCACAGGGTTCTATACCTTTTTAACCTCAACTCACAGGAACATTGTTAACAGATACTGTAGTAAATCTTTTTTTTTTTTTTTTACAATACTCTGACAATGACTTACAGGAAATGTGTGTTAAAAATAGAAGGATAAATCAATAATTTGGTCGATAAATACTACCTTAATACACTGGACCAGGATCCTGGACTGGATCAGACGGACTGGACTAGCCTTCGTTCAAGGACTAAGAATGTGTTTTTTTTATTTTATGTTGTTAGTGAATAATTTAAAGTTTGTTACAGTATAGCTTGTTTGATGGTTTTTAGAACTGACTCAATTACCTTAAGGATCTTTTCACTTGATTTTCCAAGGGTTATACATTTGTGTTTGGTTTGTGTTACGATCTCCGCACATGACTTTAGCATTGTTACGTTTGTTACACTGCTTCCTAGAACTCGTTTGTGTTCTCTAAAATTGTACTAGTGCTTGGCACTAGTACAACTGTTAGTTGCCCAGGCGTAAATGTACGTAAATGTGGGTACCTGTGTTGGTTTAGTCATTTGCTAGTTTTTTTTGAGGAAGAACGTTAGCTGTGATTTAGTCAGGATTTGTTGAATTAGTCAGCAGTAGCTCAATACCTTGGGTTTTCTTGTTCTTCAGAGCAGCTGAACAATGTTCTCAGATCTTTCCAGAGGAGAGAGTCAGTGGGGGTCACATGACCCTGAGCCCTTAGTGTTACAGCTCCCCCCCCCGCCCCCCGCCCCCCCGCTCATGCGTTTCAAAGACGGCATACTTTTCCACACTTAAAAATGTTCCACTGAAGAAAATGAAATATCTGAGACAAACTGAGTCTGTTTTTCTGATGAATTATCTGCAGTTCTTTAATGGAAACGCATCCAGAGAGAAAATCTATTTTATGACAGGGAGTTAAAAAAAAAACAAAAAAACAAAAAAACAAAACACGGAAAATCCATAAAAGCTTAGCAGAGCTAACAGTTCATCACAATGTCAGGTACATAATCACATGACCCCCTCTTCTTTCTCTGGTCTATTTTAGAGACATTGATAACAGATATGCATAAGAAAGTTATGTTTTTTTTTTTTTGTGTGTGAATGAGCACATAAATTCGGAATTTACATATCAGAATTGTTGTGTTTGTTGATGTCCCTCACTTTTAGCAATTTGGCTAGGCTAACGTTGTTTTTGGCAACATTAGCCAATCATTTTTGAACCGTTTTGGTTGTTTTTGCTAAGTTTGAATCTTAATTAGTGATTAGCAATGCTTGGTTATTTTTAGCTATTTTTAACGGTTTTATTTTTTTTATTGTTAATAATTATTAATATTAAAGTATTTGCCCCACATAGTTTGGTCTTGGAACTTTAGAATATATAGTTATGTAGTTGCTCTATTTAAGGCAAATTCAAGTAAGACAACGTATTCCTAATTTGATTTTTAGTTAGCTTCCAAAACCAATTGTGCTAATGGTTGCAGCCGCAGTTTCTATTCTTTATTTCCCTAAATTTCTTTAAATAGGTAGGAAACAATATTTCCTTTTAAAAAAAATGTATTAATTAATTTTCTACATGAATAAGGATTTAACTTATGTCATGTATGTTTTTTTTTAAACGTGACACAGTATCTGCTCCAGAGGCCTGAAATATTTTTCCCTTTTTTTTTTGTTTCAGCTTGTTCAGAATTTCAGCAGGTCGATAAGTTGAGCCAATACCACCATGTGTGTGAACATGCACAGTCTGGACGTTTGTTATTTAATATTCACTCTGTTTAACTTCTTTCTTTTTTTTTTTATCTTTTGCCTTTGTGGAAAGTAAATATGACACAATTTCCTTTTGTTTGACAGTAACCGGGCAGCTTTGGTATTTGCTGTATTTCACCCACGGGAAGAATTTAAGAATTTTCTAGAACTTCTTGTGTGTTTACAGCCGAGTTTGAGAGACAATTTCAGAAAACTTTAACAGCTTTATCGGCTGCTGTGATATACGAAGATGAAGAGTCTGCGTTTCCGTCTGTAAGCTGATCTGAGGTCAGAGCAGGGCAGAGGGAGACAAAGAGTGAAAGAGAGAGAGAGAGAGAGAGAGAGAGGGGGACAGAGAGAGAGAAAGAAAGAGAGAGACACATAAGCTCTGACCAGAAAATGTTCTAATGAAAGATCAACAGGCCAAAATAAACCAGGAGGCAGATCCAGGTCACAAGTTCAGAAGATTCCTCTGCCTTCAGAGCAACAGAGTGAGATGTACAGCCAAACCTCAGCCGTCAGCCACAAAACTAAAAACACAGAACCTTCCTTCTTCTTCCTATGAGCTCATCCACTGCGAAACGACCACCGTGACTGAGGACTTTCCTAATCGATTACCGCAGAGTCCTGCGGTCAAACGTTTTTTTATTAATAGGCCTGCAGAAAAAAAAAAGATTTAGATTCACATGCTATCCACTAGCAAAATTCAAGCTAGTTATTAACCAGGTTGTTCTATATGGTCTTTTAAGCCAATCGAATTCACGCGTAGATTGTTGTTCACTGGCCTCCAATTGGCTCTTGACGTTAGCTCCTCCCATTAATTACCTACGGCCCGCTCTTAGTCGGCCTCGCTCTTATCTCACGTTACCTCTACTCTACTTCTTGTTCGCAACCGTTTGGGCGCAGCGACAGTTTGATTTTTCGATTTTTCGGTGCGGGCCACAGAGAAGCCGTGGTCGTCGCTCTCTAAATTTTACAACGCTACGTCATGCTCCAGTTACTGGTGATCATGGTTGCTGACAGGGCGTCTCCATGTTAGAGGCCAAGTCCCGAAACGTTAGTGGACCACTGCTGTGGGCGACGCCCACCCAGATGTTCACAGTTTCCACAAATATGTCCAAAAATGGAAAGACAAACATTGGCTGAAGTATGATTACAGTCCAGTTCCTTCAACCGCAAATACTTCCAACTGTTCGTGTTCAGATTTTTTAAGTAGGGCAATTAGCAGCTCGATTTTTGATGCAAACTAAGTTTTTATGTTATTAATAATTAGCTAAAGATTTCAACCCTAACCCTTAATCTGAGTGCTATAGGTCATCATGACAAATATTTAAAAAAAAAAAAAAAAATGTTTTCGCTTCATCTTCTATGTTCTTCATTACCTCAACACTTTATTTTTGCCCCCCATGTCCATGTCCAGGTACTGGCTGTAGTCCGGACCTGCTTTTCTTTCTCTGTGCCATGTACTCTCCCATCTGCACCATCGACTTCCAGCACGAGCCCATCAAACCCTGCAAGGCGGTGTGTGAGCGAGCGAAGCAGGGCTGTGAGCCGGTGATGAAGCGCTACAACCACAGTTGGCCCGACAGCCTCGCCTGCGGTGAGCTGCCGCTGTACGACCGCGGCGTCTGCATCTCGCCAGAGGCCATCGTCAAGGCTGAGGGACCAGGTAACAACTGCCAATCGCTCGTCCTTTTTGCTCAGTCGCTCGTCCTAAGCAAAGACTCTTAGGTTTCGTAAAATATTCGTCCGTTGCAGGTCTGAAATCTCTGGGGAATTTTGTTCACTTCTTTCACACCGAAGACCGTAAAAAGAAAGTCAGCCATTTGAGCTCATGTGGATCCACCGCAAGGATCGACCGAGTTCAGATATCGTTTTCCGTGACTTAACCTACTTCACAGACACTGTTGTTAGTTTAACATTCCAGTTGTTTTTTTTTCATACATCTGTTCTACAAACAAACCAGCAGCCCCTGTGTCTCCGTGAGCTCAAAACACTCTACGGCAGTGGTCCCCAAGATATTCCGGGCGACAGCAAAAACAAGAGCAAGAATTAAAAATGAGGGCCTCCTTTAGAATATTATTTTCAGATATTCGTTTTACAACCAGTCTGTTTTTTTTATGCCAGTCTCTTGTTAAACATTTACAACATTGGACAATAAGCTGCATTACATTTCACTGGGCCACCCATAGGGGCCACGCCCCCCCACTTTGGGAACCTGTGCTTTATGGACTTTGGAGTGAGACCATTCAGATTTCAGATTTCTTTATGGATAGAAACAAAACAAAAAACAAAAAAAAAAAAAAAAAAGACAACCATGCGATATTTACAGAAACTGTCAAAATGAATTCAAATATATATATATATAAAAAAATGGATTAATCTATGACCATATTTAATATTCACTAATTATTAGTTATTCACGAAGATGTTTTCTGACATAATGCGGAACAATTTTACCCTAAAAAAAATATTCACGGCTGCTTAAAAACCAAGTGCACTATTTTAGGACTTTACTGTCAATAATGAACTGTACTCATGCAGTGTAACAGCACTTAAGCCAGATGGAGAAATAAACCATGTAAGTTTGGTTTATTTAAAGCAAATTCTGTGCAAACAAACCCTAACTAGCTCCCAGAAATGGACTTTAGTGGACCGTCATCACCTGCTCTCACAGTGCACGGCCTGTCCTTCGGTCCTGAATGAGGACATTTGAGTCAGGTTCAGGGGGAAAAAAACATGGGCCATCAGGAAGCACTTTTCCTACTTGGCTGGACTCTATCAGTGTTTTCTATCATCTTCCTGCTTAGCAGCTTGTTGCTGCTCCCTCCCTCAGCAGATAGCCTGAGTCATTTCCCCCCCCCACCCCCCCCCTCCC